TCAGAGGGACAAATAACAACGAAAGAAGGCCAAAAAAAAAAAAAAAGTTATTAAAAGAATAAATAAATAAAATCAAAGGCAAGACAAACACAATGGCAAATACAGATGCTAACATATCAATATTAACTCTAAATGTAAAAGGACTAAACTCCTCAATAAAAAGACACAGAGTCACAGGCTGAATTAAGAAACAAAATCCAACCTTTTGCTGTCTCCAGGAAACACATTTAGCTACAAAAGATAAAAATAGACTCAAAGTTAAAGGATGGAAAACAATCCTACAAGCAAATGGACCAAAAAAGAAAGCAGGAACAGCTATATTTATATCAGATAAAACAGATTTCAAACTCAAAAAAAAAAAAAAGAGAGAGACCCCAACGGTCACTACATTATGATCAAGGGGACAATACTTCAAGAAGAAATAACTCATTAACATATATTCACCAAACAAAGGAGCACCAAAATATATCAGACAACCATTGTCATCTCTGAAAACAGACGTCAGAGAAAACACATATGTAGTGGGAGACTTCAACACACCATTATCAACAATGGATAGATCAATGAGACAAAAAATAAGTAAAGACACTAAAGCTCTAAATAAGGATCTAGAGTGCTTGGGCTTAACAGACATCTATAGAACACTAAACCCAAACAAATGTGAGTACACATTTTTCTCAAGCACACACGGATCATTCTCCAGGATAGATCACATACTGGGACACAAGACAAACATCAACAAATACACCAAAATTGAAATCATACCAACCATCTTTTTTGACAATGAAGGCATAAAACTAGAAAAAAACCATAAAACGAAGGCAAGGAACTCTCGTACCTCATGGAGATTGAAAACCACACTTCTGGAAGACCACTGGACTAACAAGGAGATCAAAGAAGAAATTAAAAAATTCTTTGAATTGAATGACAAGGAGGACACCAATTTCCTAAATGTATGGGATGCAGCAAAAGCAGTAATAAGAGGAAAATATATAGCAATAGAGGCTCACATCAAGAAACATGAAAGAACTCAAAGAAACAACTTAATATCGAAGCTCAAAGACCTAGAAAAAGAAAACAAAAAAAAACCCAAAACCAGTAGAAGAAAAGAAATAATAAAAACCAAAGCAGAAATAAATGAAATTGAAACTAAAAAAACAATCCAAAAGATCAATGAAACCAAGAGCTGGTTCTTAGAAAAAATAAATAAAATAGACAAACCCCTAGCCAGGCTCACAAAGGAAAAAAGGGAGAAAGCACAAATAAACAGGATCATAAATGAAAGAGGAGAAATCACAACGGACACAGCAGAAATTAAAATAATCAGTAACTACTATGAACAGTTATATGGAAACAAGTTCAACAATCTAGAGGAGATGGACAAATTCCTACAACTCTACAATCACCTAAAGCTAGATAAAGAAGAAATAGAACACCTAAACAGACCAATTACAAGCAGCGAAATTGAAATGGTAATCAAAAACCTCCCCAAAAACAAAAGCCCAGGACCTGATGGATTTACAAATGAATTCTACCAAACATTCAGAGACGAATTAGTGCCTATCCTTCACAAACTCTTCCAAAAAATTGGGAAGGAAGGGATAATACCAAACACGTTCTATGAAGCCAACATTACACACGGAATATTCAAAAAAGATAAACACATGCAATTTGCAGCAACATGGATGGCGCTGGAAGGGATCATGCTCAGTGAAATAAGTCAGAAAGAAAAAGAAAAATATCGGATGGTCTCACTCATAGCAGGAATCTAGAAAACTTAAATTAGGGACCAGGAAAAAGAATAACTATAAGAAAGTAAAAATCACAATCAACAAACAACTATGAACCAGAGATACTCTATGGGGGGTGGGAGCGGGGAGGGGAGGGATTGGGGTCAAAATAAGGGGGTTGCAATTGTATGGGGAATATAAAAATTAAAAAAATCATATTTAAAAAAATAAATAAATCTGCATTTATACACTTTAGTGAGCCTGGAGTTTCTCTTTTTTCTTTAATACTATATAAAGTTTAGACATCAAAACTATGCTGATTAATAAAATGAACTGAAAGAAATTTTCACACTTACCATGGCTAGGACTAGTAAAAGTCATTGCTTTTTCCTACTCTTTAAGAGTCAGATACTAATTGCAATATTTTTGATCATTGTGCAAAAGTACTTTACTTACTACTCTAATCCATTTTATGATTAATAACGTATTTAAATTTTGCAATTAAAAAAATGGACACCTGCACCCCTATGTTTACTGATGCACTATTTACAATAAGCAAGATACTGAAACAAAACAGAAGCCCATAAATAGATGACTGTATCAAGAAGATGTGGTACATATACACAGTGGAATATTACTCAGCAATCAAAAAAGATAAACTCATGCCATTTGCAGCAACATGGAGGGAGCTGGAAGGGATCATTTTTTAGTGAAATAAGCCAGAAGAAAACGACAAATAGCAGATGCTTTCACTTATAGGAGGAACATACAGGAACCAAATAAGGGATCAGAAAAAAAAATTATAATAAATAAAAAATACAAAATTAACAGTCAAATATAAGTCAGAGACATTCTGAAGGGGACAGGGAGGGAGAGTGATCAAAACAGGTGAGGGAAAAGCACAGGGACTATGGTGTTGGTACATGGGTGAATTGGGGTGGTAATTATACGGGGACTACACCTGGGAGGAGAAAGCATATATTGTACAAAAATGAAAAATGATTTAATATATATATAAATAAAAAGATGAATTCAAATTCAATAGGGAGTGCAGCTCCATTAAAATAAAGATCTCAGACATAAAAACAAAATAAATAAATATAAATTTTTTATTTCAGGGTTAATTTTAACAATTTGTATTTTACTACTAAATTATTCATTTCATCTAGGTTTTACATGTTACCACAGAATTGTGGTGATATCATTTCACTACTAACATACCCTGTGACTCTCAATCTTAACATATTTTTTCCTCTCTTTTTCCTTTAATAATCAGGTTTAATTTTCAAAAACTGGTCACTGAAAATATTGCTCCCCACTAGCTTTTATTCTTTTTGGTTTTCAGTTTCTTTGACTGGAAGTTTTATCTTTATTAGTTCGTTCTTCCTGTTTTATTTTGAATTTCTTTATTGTTCCTTATCTAATTTATAATGTTTGAAAGGAATTATTTTGTTGATGAATAAAAAAATCTCACAGTAAGATTTGTGCCAAGGTAGTAAAATTTCATAAAATGAGATTATTTGGCGTTGGATTAGAATATACATCCTAGTTCTATCACTATATGCAATATGAGCCTGTTAGTATTTAATCTGTCTAATAATGCTTTCCACATCTAAACTGAAGAGTCTCAAGGTTCCAGTAAGGTGAAAAATAAAATCTTGTAAAATTGATAAACTTTTAAGCTCAATGTGAGAAAGTAGGGTATTTGTTTCATGGTATCTTTTTCCTAAGTGACTGAGAATCACTCCCTTTAGAAGTAATAATATCTAACAAAATTCAGCATTTCTATGACAGTAAAATACAATAAAGACATATACTCATTTTATTAATGTTCAGGTCATAATCAAGAGACTTAATAAAATGTTGAACAAACATGAATGACCTAGTATAAGATCTTCTAAAAAAAGAAACATCTAAGTTACATTGCTGAATGAACTGGAAAGATTTTAAAAACTACGAAGTTTTTGAACAGCATGTCATTAAAGCACACCCTCATTTTTTATTGAAAATAGTCTGAGTCTAATGGGTTTCAGGAACTCCAAAAACCCTGTGATCTTGCAAGCAAAATTCTATGTATATTTGTTTACATTTTTATTACGATAATTATATACACTGATAGATTTGAAGAGCGTTTGGGACCTAAAAGAGGTTGCAAAAGATCTTGCCAGATTAGTAATCCAACTTTCTAACTATAGTCTATGACTAAGGTTTACCAGGGTCAAACTTTGCTACCTCACTAATGAAACCATTTCACTATTTGACTGCCATAACTTGTAAAAATTCTAGTTTACATCATGTATTTTCTTGATTCAGTCTATGAAGCATGAGATAAAAGAACAATTCCCCATCCCTAAAAATAGACCTTTACATATTTGGACACAGTCATCTTAGCTCTTAGTGTTCTTTTTTCAGGCTGATGGCTCTTAAACAGCATAGCATATGGATGTAACTAATTCAAATTTTACCTTTAAAGGAAAGTGATTTCACTAGTCATGAAGACATTATTTTATATTTTAAAAGTTCAACAGTAAAAGTTCACTAATTTTGACAGAGATACATACTCTTGCTCTAAATTTACTTCTGAATTTCAGGAAGAATTCAAAGAAAACAACTGCATTATGTTGATGTATGTGACATCATGAATTCTGCAGAATTCTCACATATTTACTCCACTAAATTCTTATATTCAATATCTCATAAAATTCTTTAAGAATTTTTTTTTTAATTATGGATTATTTGCCAAAATACCAATTGTTAATGGATTTTAACACATGTTCAAATTTGTAGTTAAGTCACTTTTTACTCATAGGAATTCAGAAAGGATAAATGCAGTAACATTATTTCATGTACTACAGATCATTTTCACTCATATGTGGAATATAAACAATGTAAACAAAACAAATGCAGAGACAAAACAAATCCTTAGATTCTGAAAGCACAACGGAATGTTACCAAAGGGAGAAATAAGGGAATGGAAGTAAATAGAGGGGCCCCAATGAAGTGTGGTAGATGGCTACTGCTTCTCTGGTAGGAGGGCATGTTGTGGCAACAGATCTTTGAAGAAGCATGAATCTGTACTCCCATAAATTGTTACCTTATTTAAAAAAGAAATTAGATAAAAAATCATTTACACTATTTCTGAGCAAAAAAGGGACAAAATACTGAAGTGAAGCATCACTTCCTACAAATGAAAACAAATTCCAAGATGGTAAACCAAGATCTGTACAACTCAGCACCAAAATTAAACAATGATACAAAAGTATTACTTACGGATACAATTCTGAAAGTTGCTCTGCTATTGCATAAGCTGTTGGATCTCTGTCTAAGGCAAACAAAGTAATATCTGATTCCTTCTGTAGAATGGCTCTTGTGTGTCCTCCTGAACCGAATGTCATATCTAGAAAAACCTAGCCAACACAGAAAAAGGAAATTACCACTTAGGATGAACATTCTTGATAACTACATTAATTTCTAGAAGCACACAATAATTTGCAGAGTTGATGGCAAGTAGAAAACAATTATAATAATTTTGCATCTAGTTCTGTTTATCAAGCCAAATGAACATATCAAAGTATCAGTAAAATGACGATCTCTGGCAAAAGCTGGCAAGTCAAGACAAATTTACATTTCCCTTCATAATCAGACATGCATGTCACACTGTTGGGCTGGTAGCTTTTTATTGCTTTCCAGCACCTGGCTGGTAATAATAGTTCCAACAATTTCTATAGCTTACAACTAGTATGGCTCATTTTATATCTAAATGTTTCTAAATGCTTTACAATAAAAGTATAGATATTCAAGAGTTGGAGAGAGAGGGAGTGAGTGAGAGAGAATATGCTAAAACAGTCACAGAACAAACCTTTTAACGCTTAACCCGAAAAATGAAAAAAAAAAAAAAAATCTGACCTGAAAAAAGCCCAAGGCATAGTCAAAACATGTGGATAAGTTCCAGTTTTCTCACTAAGTAGCTATATGTTTTGGGGAAAGTCACCTAAACTTTTAATATCTTCTGATTTCTTCAGGGTTTAAGAAAAAAAGGAAGGCCTAGAAAAGAAAATATCACCAATATCCTATCTAATTGGGACAGTGACATTTATCCGAAGACACTTTTGAGAGACAAAGATTTGCCAGTATAATTTTACCGGGACAGTAGGATATGATGTACAGTAATGTATATCTTTAAAATGTTTGGATCATTTTAGTTACTAAATACAGTTTATTGGATCTGAATCTACATTTTTGCCTTTTTTATTTGGTTACACTCTAAAGAAAATAGATAACAGAGGCTGCAAATTGCTTCATAGCTGAATGCTTAACCCCTTGCGCCACCAGGAAGGCCCTCATTTAAGACAATTTTAAAACAGCACTTAGTCTTATTATTGTATGTAAGATCAAATAATTTTTTTCCAGTATGTATAATCATTTTATGCATCCAAGAGCAGGTAAAAATCCTCCACCCCTGTAACTTACCTCAGTTTTTAATTTGTTAGGGATTAACATAATTTAAACAAAGAACTTTTCCCAGGAAAAACCATAAACTACTTTATTCTTATATCCCAAAACCCAATCTTATTATAACCATGGATTTAAACTAAGAATATGCCAAATAAAGTAATTTGCATATGATTACCTTATCCCAAGCCAGTAAAGTTCCAATCAATATATTTTTTATAATTCCTCATCATTAAAAATATTCTGGAAAATGTGAGATGATCATAATTTACATGATTATTTTTTAATAGATCATGATTATGCCCTTGGAGATGCACTGATAATCAAGGAAGCTTCCATAGGGGGAAAAATAACCTATTATTACCAGGCAAGTGTAACACCAAAGCTAAAAGGGGAGATGAATGGGAATTATGAAACTAGAAATGAACACCACCATATGTCCTAGTTTAATAGGTGACTGGAATCATCAACTTTCACTTTACAAATTTTTTTTTAAAGATTTATTTATTTACTTATATAAGCACTGGGCACAGTCAGAAGCATGGGAGGGTGACAGAATTCACCAGAGCCAGAGCGGGGAACAGAACAGGCAGACTGATCAAGTACACTGCTGAGGGGAGCAGCGGGCGCAGCAGGAGAGGTCTGTTGTGCCATGTGGGACCCTTGCCGAACGGCTGGGGATCGAACCATCACTGCAGAGGCTGCGGGCAGCTTCGCAGCCCAGCGCTCAACCAATGAGCCACTGGGAAGGCCCTCACTTTACAAATTTTAATACACATTGTTCATCAAAAATAAGGACATCTCAGTTTTATTTGTCACCCAGAATTCTAATTTCAAAGGTAGACAACTGGGTCATTACCATTGACCATATTTTAAAATCTGTAAAAATTAAAAACAGAATAAGGAAAAGGACTAATTTTATTTTTCTTAAGAAGCTCACAAGAACAAATAAATTAGTTCTTTTATATCAAGAAAATCATTTGTATGGACCATTTTCTATATATATATATCCAAATGTATTTTTTAATGCTCCAAACATATAGAGTCTTTCTTTAAAATTACTTGACATAATTTATCTAAAAAGTCAAATCTGGGCCTCCCCTGGTGGCGCAGTGGTTGAGTGCTGGGCTGCAAAGCTACCCGCAGCCTCTGCAGTGCCAGTTCGATCCCTGGCAGCCAGCAAGGGCACCACATGGCACGACAGACATCTCCTGCCACCCGCTGCTCTCCTCAGCAATGTATTTCGTCAGTCTGCCTGTTCTGCTCCCCGCTCCAGCTCTGGTGAATTCTCTCACCCTCCCATGCTTCTGACTGTACCCAGCACTTGTATAAATAAATAAATAAATAAATAAATAAATCTTTTTAAAAAATAAAAAGTCAAATATGTATTTGCCACTGAGAGTTTATTCTGATTATTTCACTTATCCATCTGTGTAAGCCTGGCTTAATCATTTTAATTCTCTGTGCTTCAGTTGCTTCATCTAAGTATAAAATACACATCTGCTTACCTCACAGAGATTGATAATTTTATTTCCTCCTAGCAATTATAAAGTGTTATTAGATTTTACATTTGCAGAAACTAAGATTACAATAAACTAGTAAGAGGCAAATGAAAGAAATGAATCCAGGTATATCTGGCACGTAAACCTACGCTTTTTCTTACACCATCCTGCCTCTGTATTAAATCAATAAAATCTGTATTTGCACACTGCTTTAAGGTTTACCAAGTATTAATGTTTCCCTAAGTGGTCTAACAAAAGCTCTCTATGGGAGTATAAACAAAAGGTACTATCCTCATTTTTACTAAAGAGAAAACTCAGGTGCAGAGAGACAATGTGACTTCATTAAGAACACCTTAGTAGTAAGACGAGAGGAGAAAGGGATGGAAGAAATGAAAGAAAAAAATAAGGGGGTGGGGGGACAGTGGATAGCATGAAAAAGAATCATGGCAGAGGTAGCTTTACAAAAATCATAAAAGTTTAGCTTTTTAAAGCTCAATCATTCCCACTGGAATTCATAGCCTTGAAAGTCATGTTTTTATCTCTGCGTAGGAGGATAACATTTGATCTTTCTCTCTTTCTCTCTCTCCCTCCCCCTTTCAATTAGTTACCTATCAACTTAGAACTTTAGAATATATGTATCTTGAAGATTTTACATGGGAGAAAGAAATTTTTTTATTCTTCCTATTATTTGAAGACAATCACTTTTCTGTATTTTAGCAAAGACAAAATAAAATAAAATTAAATTAAATAAAGCTCAGAAAGTAAATGCTAGTTATCCTGGGTAGGCATTATCTTTAAGGAAAAGAGATTTCTCTAAAATGGTGTCAAGGATAGAAGGAAAAGATGGGCAAATTCCAAGAAAGTACTCAACCTATGACTGACAGGTGATAAAATCTCAGAGCAGCAGACTGGATTGTGAACTGAGGGAGAACAGCCCCTCAATCACCGGGTTCTGAGCGCTACCACAGATTCCTGTGACCCTCTGTGGCACAGAAAAGCAAAACCTTCAGTCCTGGGAGGTTCCACACAGGTGAGAACAAAAAGCATCTCAGGGAAAACTAAGTGTGACATGAGGTAAATAAGATGTAGGGTCTCTGCATAGTCTGCATGGTGTGTGGGGTCAGGAAGATGAGTGAGATTAATGGTTTCTCATGCAGGGGCTCATAATGAAAATGCTAGTAGGTAAAGAAGAAAATAGCACTTGGGGGAGAGATTCATAACAATAATTCTTGAATTTTGTCTCCAATTAAATATAGTAGTATCAGAGAACAGTAGTAGATGTGTAGCATATATTTAGTGTTGAGATATGAAAAAAGAGCTCAGCCTCCCAAGGTACTGATGATAAACACAGCAACACTCATTTGCATATATGAATCCAAAATACGATTTAGGATATAGGACTCACTGCACAGGACTACAGAAAACAGTCACAAGATGTCCAACTATTGTTCACTCATTTAACATCAATGTATTCCTAATATTACAAATTGACTCGGAAATTATTCAGAACATTAATAACATTCTGTAATTAATTATACTCTGTAATTCCATAGTACATTTTTATTTGCTGAGCAGTCTCCTTTACATTTGAAATTTAAAAAAAAAATCAACATTTCTTAATTTAGATTAGCTCTTTTAATCAAATACAAGTAAATGACAATTTATTCCCATTGTCTTCTAAATATCAAAGAAATAATTAGGTTTACCTTTCACCAAGATGAGTCACACTTTAATAGTTGAGCTATAGATGTGGATCTGCTATGGATCAGGTACAGTCACAAAATTTCAGAGTTCAGAGAGATATGGAGGACTTTTTATTCCACCCCCTCATTTTACTTATGAGGAGATCAAGACCTGAAGAGGGTAGCCGGTAGCTAGTTGAGGGCAAAGCTAATAATACCAAAACCAAGATTCTGGGCTCTTTCCATTTTGTTTCATAATACTCCCCCATTGAAATTATATAATCACACTGAAATAAAATTGTTCTTTGAAAAGACATTTTTTTCTTAATATGAAGATAGACGCACTTAGGAACTCTGCACCTTAAGCCTCCAAAACAGTTTATAACAATCACAGTCATGCCACTCAAATTTTTTTAAAGACCTTATGAAGATAACCTCTTGAATTAAATTCCAAGACAACTGTGTTGCGTATGAGAACTGGTATATGGAATAGCAACTAATAAAGACTAATGACTGAGAGAAGACATCTTAGACTTGCCTGAAAACAGTAAGTTCAAGACAGGTTACAGTGTCAAATTGGTCTTGAAATGAAAAACAAACAAACAGAAAAATGAAACACTTAAAAATCAAAAACTCATGGCTGGTTAGAGTTAGAAGGGCTTATAGAATGAATACAAGTTCAATTCTTTTATCACATTCTCCTCCACTTTTCTATAGCATACCTAGTACTACTACTCGTTTCTACCTCTCATATAAGATAACCTTTAACTC